CTAWGTAAAGCTCWTMWATYRTAGCATGKACYTAATCTYRAMARWTTACTTWWRGMYCTAWGYMTAWAYYGTAGTTACTTAACTTAGTACAAGAACAGTGACAAATTTATAAGTAGGAACTGGCTATGTACTAAATCAYCTTCCAATCGCATTTTCCAGAAACCACACAATGTTTTAATCCATTCACTAAAGATAATCTGCACAAAGCAGTTTGATGAATAGATGAACCCGATATAAGGTTCATACGTGTATCCTCTGTACTAAATATTTATACAAGAACTATCGGTATTAAGTTGCGGATATTGGGCAGCTAGAGAACACATTGCAGACTTTGGAGTGGGCGAGAGAAGCGAACGAGAAGTGGCGGTACTCTGAGTGCATTCGCACGGGACATGATCTGATTGTAACCAATACATTCTTTCAACACCATCTTAGAAGATTTTACACGTTGAAATCGAATGATATAAAAACTAGGAATCAAATATACTTCGTACTCATTAATAAGAGAAACATGAAAAGTTATCCAGGAGCAGCTTTGATGGGAAGAATGGAAACCAGGCTGACGAGAGTAGATAAAAAACTTGCAGGGATATGTAATTTGAGAGGGTTATAGACACAGCCACAAAAATGTTGATAAGGAATAAACTGTTAACAGAGACTGAAGAGCAGGAGAACCATGGAGATTAGAAAAAGACCTTAAAATGCTTCCGGGAAGTATACATAAAATCGAAGAAAAGTACTTAGTCTCTCAAACAGACGAAAAAATTTTGAGATTCTGGAACTGATAAAAAAAAAGAGAATGTTTAAAAATAAAACGAAAGATTACATGAACATAGGAACAGCCAAGGAAAAGGAGAAACTGGAAAAATGTTTGGAAATCAAAAAATGCCAAACCAAATTTGATAGCTTGAATCTGCACAAGAAAGTAAGGGAAATGGCGGGAACAGTTAAACGAAGAAGAGTTAACCTACTTAAGGATAAGTAAAGCCGAGTTACAGTACAATTTAACCTGGGTATAGTACAATAAACAACTTTTTGATGACGTGAGAACAGTGCCACCCAATATTGATAACAGATGGTCCCCCATTCTTGGAAGGAGAAGTACAGGCGGCTCTGAAAAATGCTAAAGATCAAAAGGCTTTGGGTCCCGATGGAATTCCGGCTGTGATATTAAAGTTGATAGAGGGGAGCAATCTAGGATGGCTTGCAAGAGTTTTCAATGTGATCTATGATATGGGCGTCATACCCACGGAATGGGTGAAATTTTAATTTGTTACGCGTCCCAAAAAGCCTAATGCTAAGCAATGTAACGAGTTTCGTACAATAAGCTTGATGAGCCATCTACTGAAGATGTTCCTGAAGAAAATTCACACAGAATATTTAAACTGTGTGAGGAACAGATGTCTGAGAACCAATTCGGTTTAAGAA